GCAGAAGCCCTGACCTCTGGATTGTACTGATTGGCCCTGTGCTGATCACATGCACTCTCCCAAGAAAAAAAAACCTTTCAAGAAATACACACCAAACTGAGTATGTGCAGAGTGTCTCCACACGGTATGTCTTATCAGGAGATAGGAGGGGGGCTCTGGAAGAATGGGAGGATCAGAGAGGACAAGATCAAACAGCGTTTTTAGGTTTTAGGTTCCACAGTGAGTATAACAAGCATGCTTTACTGCATCTACAGACTGATTGTACTGTTGTGGGTTTAGACAGGACGTCTTGGATGCTGCTCTTAAGGGTGCCTGGCATTTATTTCTGCCTCTGAATGCCCCTTCATGGTAGCCTATATGTCCATGCACACAGGTGTTTAGAGGAGTGTAGAGATAGAGAAAACCTGCTGACAGAGCGTCCAGGAGCAGCGGTGTTTGGCAGAAAATAACTTGTAAATGTGTGTTAATGCTAGACGTGTTTATTGCTGGAGCATTCAAATAGTATTACATAAATAAATGATTGCTGTCCTCAGCCCCCCCATTACTGTCCTGAGCCCCCCCCCCCCAGTAATGGGGGATTACTGTCCTGAGCCCCCCATTACTGCCTTCACCTCCCCTCATTACTGTCCTCAGCTCCCCTCATTACTGTCCTCAGCTCCCCTCATTACTGTCCTGAGCCCCTGCATTACTGTCCTCAGCCCCCCCATTACTGTCCTCAGCCCCCCCATTACTGTCCTCAGCCCCCCTCCCCCCCAGTAATGGGGGATTACTGTCCTGAGCCCCCCATTACTGCCCTCAGCTCCCCTCATTACTGCCCTCAGCTCCCCTCATTACTGTCCTCAGCTCCCCTTATTACTGTCCTCAGCCCCCCCCCCCATTACTGTCCTCAGCTCCCCTCATTACTGTCCTTAGCTCCCCTCATTACTGTCCTCAGCCCCCCCATTACTGTCCTCAGCTCCCCTCATTACTATCCTGAGCTCCCCCCCATTACTGTCCTCAACTGCCCTCATTACTACCCTCAGCTCCCCTCATTACTATCCTCAGCCCCCCCATTACTGTCCTCAGTTCCCCTCATTACTGTCCTCAGCCCCCCCATTACTGTCCTCACCTCCCCTCATTACTGTCCTCAGCTCCCCTCATTACTGCCCTCAGCCCCCCATTACTGTCCTCAGCTGCCCTCATTACTGTCCTCAGCTCCCCTCATTACTGTCCTCAGCCCCCCCCCATTACTGTCCTCAGCTCCCCTCATTTCTGTCCTCAGCCCCACCCCCCATTACTGTCCTCAGCCCTTCCTCATTGCTGTCCTCAGCCCCACCTCACATTACTGTCCTCAGCTCCCCCCATTACTGTCCTGAGCCCCCCGCATTACTGTCCTCAGCTCCCCTCATTACTGTCCTGAGCCCCCCGTATTACTGTGCTCAGCTCCTCTCATTACTGTCCTGAGCCCCCTGCATTACTGTCCTCAGCTTCCCTCATTACTGTCCTCAGCCCCACCTCACATTTCTGTCCTCAGCCCCCCTGATTACTGTCCTGAGCCCCCCATTACTGCCCTCAGTTCCCCTCATTACTGTCCTGAGCCCCCCACATTACTGTCCTGAACCCCCTAATTACTGTCCTGAGCCCCCCCAATTACTGTCCTCAGTCCCCCTCATTACTGTCTTGAGCACCCCGCTGTAACTATCCTGAGCCCCCCATTACTGTCCTCAGTTTACCATTGCTGGGAGGGGAGATTTCAGCAGGGGGGCGAATGTGTACTGGGAGGAGGGAAAATGTATGCTTAGCATGCAGATTAGTGCTCCATTTGTTTGTTTTTTTTGGGGAGGGGATTTTTGCTGGTGCATAATGCTCATACATCTTGGGGGGGGTGGGGAACAATTTGGCATGTTCGCCCTGGGCACTAGATGACCTTGTCCCGGCATTGTATTCAATCGATACCGAAGAAGCTCCCGCACTTTTTCAGGCATGGATTGTCACATTTTTCTCAGCTCACATTTTGAGCTGTTTGTAGCTCGTTTGTCGCATGGAGAAATGTGTGGCAAAACATGCGTCTGCTAACCGCATTGGAAGTGCTGCTAACAATTAATGGCATCGCAAGTACGACGCGCATTCGCAGCATGTTATTCAAGAGTCTCCCAAAACGCGTTTCGTCACGCATTCAGGAAATGCAAAGTGTCCATGGGGCCTCAAGTCCAAACAAAAAAAAAAACGACTGATATCATAGGATGGAGCGGGGCAGACTGACAACTCATGGGGCCCCCGGGCAATAGGGGATCCTGGGGCCCCTGTGTCCTTGCCCAAACTCAAAAAATCCTATGAAAAAGGTACCAGGGGCATCTCATGGGGCCCCCTACTGACCGCGGGCCCTCGGGCAGTGCCTGAGTTTCCAAATGGTCAGTCCGCCCCTGGGATGGAGTATGAGTGGTACGAGCAGGACATGTCATTGGTTGTTCCTCCATTAATAGGCGTTCAATCCAGAGCCCGCCAAGTATACAGACCTCCAAGAACATCAAATTTTATTGGACCCCAGAGGAAGCCCTCAATGTGTTCTGTATTATTGGGACCTGCTGGTGAGATGACATGACCCCAGTAAAATTTGTGGCGGTCTTGATTTGTGTGGGAACTGAGCATGTGGGGACGGTTCTCACTGTGGACCAGTATGATGGATTTACACTCACCGGCCACTTTATTAGGTACACCTTCCTAGTACCGGGTTGGACCCCTTTTGCCTTCAGAACTGCCTTCATTCTTCCTGGCATAGATTCAACAAGGCGTTGGAAACATTCTTCAGAAATTTTGGTCCATATTGACATGAGTTATGCAGGCCATACACGGGTCAAACCCTGAACAAATTTTCTTTAGAAAATTGGAAATTTGGTGCGTTTTGTAACCCAATGGCCCCACCATTGATCTAGAAGTTCAACCAATCAAGCCTTCAGTTTCACCTCTTGTTGCTACAGAAAAGAATTTTCGTGGCCAAGAATTTCCTCTTCTTTCCAGGTCACAGCTCATGCTTGCTTCTTTCGTTTATATTTCTCACACGATTCGCTCATCATTGATTCGAACTTCATTTGTTTTTCAAAAAATTTCCAGCATGTCTGATCACTCATATTCAATGGTCACATGAAAATCGTCCGTTTCTGTGAACCACTAACGGTGCGAAATTCGAAAAAAAATTATTTCGGATATTGACCTGTGTATGGCCGGCTTTACTGTTGCCTTTCTGTCATCTGGAACTAGTCTGCCCATTCTCCTCTGACTTCTGACAGCGAGGCATTTTCCTCCACACAACTGCCAATCGCTGGATATTTTCTCTCTTTCGGACCATTCTCTGTAAACTCTAGAGGTAGTTGGGCGTGAAAATCCCAGTAGATCAGCAGTTTCTGAAATACTCAGACCAGCCTGTCTGGTACCAACAACCATGCCACATTCAAAGTCACTTAAATCCCCTTTCTTCCCCATTGTGATGCTCAGTTTGAACTTTAGCAATGTATTCTGACTAGGAATGCCCACTCCTCCAGACTGACACCCATCAACACATTTTAATATTTGCATAACCCCTCCCACTGCTTGCATCAGGACTGAAGGCTCTTGAGAGGAGTACTGAGGGAAGATGCTGCAATGTTTTCGGGAACCTATGTACAGCACCCTGCTAGCCCCTCCCATCAGCCACAATCTGCCTGCATTGCAGAGAGAAGAATAGAGACCTAGTGATGACAACACTGCCTAAAAAAGGTATGTAATGAAAGTCTCTAACATGTTGATGAGGAGGGGAGGGAAAAACCAGCGAAGGTAAAATATAATCAAATTAAGCTTCAGCTTTAAAGTGGTTGTAAACCCAGAGAAATGACTGACCTCAGGTGATACACAGAGCTGAAATAATCCTCCTACATAAGTTGTACCTGTTTATCTGCTGTTCACTCTTCTCTCTACATCCATTCAAAAGGCTGAATTTATAAAGCTGGTCTGAGAATTCAGGAAAAAAAGGGGCAGAGAACTGAACTTACACTCTGCAGAGCTCAGTTAGGAGGGCTGATAGGAGGAAAGGGACACCCCCTCTTCACACAACACACAGGACAGAGCTGAGGCTGCCAATCACAGGCTGTGTCCTACCCTGTCACCATTTTAAAACTCATCAGAAGTGACTCATGCTGACAGCAGAGGAACAAAGTTGCAGACAGAAATTACACTTAGCGCTCTTAACTGTGACAGGTACACACTATAGAGGGATATGCTTTGTTCATATTTCATGTTGGAGGTTTACAACCACTATAAGAGCCTGTTTACACTAGTGGTGCCCTCTGAGATGCATTCAACAGTGGATTACTTTTCAGAGACAGTTTAACAGGAGGAGAGGAGTTGTTTAAAATGTTTCTTCACCTCCACATGGTCTGCTTTAACTCTTACAAATCCACACCACCGTGCCGCAGCCCTGTGCATTGCACATGGTTGCAGAGTGGCCTCATTCAGGTGAACAGGTCGCACTCTGCAGGTGGTATTGCCCATTATGCATGACAGGGGGATCATTTTTACTGTAATGTGTGCATGTGTAGAACCCCAACTACTGCTTTTGCAACTTAAGGGGGGGTGGGGGGGCACTTGAGGGGCAGTATAAATAAGGCTCAACCACGTGTTTTTAACAACCCCCACCCCCCCTCCCAGTTAAGTGGAGCTCCAGCCCAAATTTGTTGCTGGCTGGGTTTCTTCTGGATAGACTTCTTCTCACCTCCTATTAGTTTGTGTTCACATTTGCGTATTTCAGGAGCACTTTCCCAACGCGCACAGAAATGCTCTGCCCTTTAGCAAATGTACAGCAATGCCATTAATTCTTCATTCTTAAAGTGTTACCAACCCAGGACCCTGCATTCACTATATCTGGTCTTCCTGGACCCTGCATTCACTCTATCTGGTCTTCCTGGACCCTGCATTCACTATATCCGGTCTCTTCGGACCCTGCATTCACTATATCTGGTCTCCCTGGACCCTGAATTCACTATATCCGCTCTCCCCGGACCCTGCATTCACTATATCTGGTCTCCCCGGACCCTGAATTCACTATATCCGTCTCCCCGGACCCTGCATTCACTATATCCGGTCTCTCCAGACCCTGCATTCACTATATCCGGTCTCCCCGGACCCTGCATTCATATATCTGGTCTCCCCGAACCCTGCATTCACTATATCCGGTCTCCCCAGACCCTGCATTCACTCTATCCGGTCTCCCCAGACCCTGCATTCACTATATCCGGTCTGCCCGGACCCTGCATTCATATATCTGGTCTCCCTGGACCTCACACTCACTATATCCGGTCTCCCCAGACCCTGAATTCACTATATCCGGTCTCCCCGGACCCTGCATTCACTATATCTGGTCTCCCCGGACCCTGCATTCACTATATCTGGTCTCCCCAGGACCCTGCATTCACTATATCCGGTCTCCCCAAACCCTGCATTCATATATCCGGTCTCCCCAGACCCAGCATTCACTATATCCAGTCTCCCCGGACCCTGCATTCATATATCTGGTCTCCCCGGACCCTGCATTCACTATATCCAGTCTCCCCGGACCCTGCATTCACTATATCCGCTCTCCCCGGACCCTGCATTCATATATCTGGTCTCCCCGGACCCTGCATTCACTATATCTGATCTCCCCGGACCCTGCATTCACTATATCCGGTCTCCCTGGACCCTGCATTCATATATCTGGTCTCCCCGGACCCTGCATTCACTATATCCGGTCTCCCCGGACCCTGCATTCATATATCTGGTCTCCCCGGACCCCACACTCACTATATCCACTCTCCCCAGACCCTGAATTCACTATATCTGGTCTCCCCGGACCCTGCATTCACTATATCCGGTCTCCCCAGACCCTGCATTCATATATCCGGTCTCCCCAGACCCTGCATTCACTATATCCAGTCTCCCCGGACCCTGCATTCATATATCTGGTCTCCCCGGACCCTGCATTCACTATATCTGATCTCCCCGGACCCTGCATTCACTATATCCGGTCTCCCTGGACCCTGCATTCATATATCTGGTCTCCCCGGACCCTGCATTCACTATATCTGGTCTCCCCGGACCCTGCATTCATATATCTGGTCTCCCCGGACCCCACATTCACTATATCTGCCCCAGATCCCATTAGTTAGAAAGGAAGTGAGAAGGATTCCTCTCAATCAAAGACAGAAAATTTAGAAAACAATCTTCTGGTCGGAGTTCCACTTTAACCACCACTGTGGTGGGTGAATAAGCGGCAGCAATTTTCTGCTCGGCTCTTGCCAGCTGCACTGATTGTCATCGCTTTATTGTCCTCCCGCTGTCCAAAAACATCTGAAAGCTTAAATGGCTTTTTATCTAAATTGGCCACATAAGGCTCAGGGCTGTCTTCATCCATGTGGGATGTACAGGTGTACCGTGCATGGACCAGCATGGATCCCCAAGTGCATCCCCAATAGTACATCTGCTCGGGACCGATGCACGGATCAGAATGCAGTCTGTCTATGGTGTACTGCTTAAAAAGTAAGTACATCCTTGGGCATAGACACTGCTGTTGCAAAATGACCTCTTGTAGGCATCGACTATCGGTGATTTGTTGACCTTTCCTCTGTGCAACATTTCTTCAGTTTCAACATTTTTGTGGGCTTCTTAGCATGGACTGCCAGTTTTCAATCACCCACAGCATTTCAATAGCATTCAAATCAGGGCTTTGACCAGGATAGGCCATAATCCCTAATTTCTTCTTTTTAAGCCATTTCTTGGTGGATATGTTAGTGTGTTTCAGATAATTATTGTGTTGAAAGACTCTTTTCAGGTTCAACGGCAACATTTGGACAGATAGCCTCACATTATCAAGTCTACCTTGATATGATGCAGAGTTCACAGTTGATGTGATGACTGTGAGCTGCTCAGGCCCTGAAGCAGCAAATAAACCCCAAATCATACCATGCTTCACAGTTTGTATGAGGATCCTCAAGAAAAATGCTGCCTTCATTTTGGGTCACATCGGTCTACTCTTACTGTGTCCATGCACCTCTATACTTGATTGGTCTTTGACTTCACACTTGGAAGCACGCCCTACCAGCAATTGCGTGCAAGAATCCCAATGGGGGGGGGGGGGGGGAGGGGGGATCCTGCGATTAGCTGTGAGAAGCAGCCCCATTGAATTTCCCCTCTCTGATTCAACAACCTCTGTACAATCTCATGATTTACCATAATTCTGTAATATGAGGACACAAGAGGATTCAGGAAAAAAAGGGGCAGAGAGCTGAACTTACACTCTGCAGAGCTAAGTTAGGAGAGCTGGTAGGAGGAAAGGGACACCCCCTCTTCACACAGCACACAGGACAGAGCTGAGGCTGCCAATCACAGGCTGTGTCCTCCCCTGTCACCATTTTTCTCTTGGTGTCAGGACTCATGCTGACACCTATTAGTTTGTGTTCACATTTGCGTATTTCAGGAGCACTTTCCCTACGTGCACAGAAATGCTCTGCCCTTTAGCAAATGTACAGCAATGCCATTAATTCTTCATTCTTAAAGTGTTACTAACCCAGGACCCTGCATTCACTATATCTGGTCTTCCTGGACCCTGCATTCCCTATATCTGGTCTCCACGGACCCTGCATTCACTATATCCGCTCTCCCCGGACCCTGCATTCACTATATCTGGTCTCCCCGGACCCTGCATTCCCTAAATCTGGTCTCCCCGGACCCTGCATTCACTATATCTGGTCTCCCAGGACCCTGCATTCACTATATCTGCTCTCCCCGGACCCTGCATTCACTATATCCGGTCTCCCCGGACCCTGCATTCACTATATCTGGTCTCCCCAGACCCTGCATTCACTATATCTGCTCTCCCCGGACCCTGCATTCACTACATCTGGTCTCCCCGGACACTGCATTCACTATATCTGGTCTCCCCAGACCCTGCATTCACTATATCCGCTCTCCCCGGACCCTGCATTCACTATATCTGGTCTCCCCGGACACTGCATTCACTATATCTGGTCTCCCCGGACCCTGCACTCACTATATCTGGTCTCCCCGGACCCTGCATTCACTATGTCCGCTCTCCCCGGACCCTGCATTCACTATATCCGCTCTCCCCGGACCCTGCATTCACTATATCCGGTCTTCCCGGACCCTGAATTCACTATATCCGCTCTCCCCGGACCCTGCATTCACTATATCCGCTCTCCCCGGACCCTGCATTCACTATATCCGCTCTCCCCGGACCCTGCATTCACTATATCTGGTCTCCCCGGACACTGCATTTACTATATCTGGTCTCCCCGGACCCTGCACTTACTATATCTGGTCTCCCCGGACCCTGCATTCACTATGTCCGCTCTCCCCGGACCCTGCATTCACTATATCCGCTCTCCCCGGACCCTGCATTCACTATATCCGGTCTTCCCGGACCCTGAATTCACTATATCCGCTCTCCCCGGACCCTGTATTCACTATATCCGCTCTCCCCGGACCCTGCATTCACTATATCTGGTCTCCCCGGACCCTGCACTTACTATATCTGGTCTCCCCGGACCCTGCATTCACTATATCCGCTCTCCCCGGACCCTGCATTCACTATATCCGGTCTCCCCGGACCCTGCATTCACTATATCCGCTCTCCCCGGACCCTGCATTCACTATGTCCGCTCTCCCCGGACCCTGCATTCACTATATCCGCTCTCCCCGGACCCTGCATTCACTATATCCGGTCTTCCCGGACCCTGAATTCACTATATCCGCTCTCCCCGGACCCTGCATTCACTATATCTGGTCTCCCCGGACCCTGCATTCATATATCTGGTCTCCCCGGACCCCACATTCACTATATCTGCCCCAGATCCCATTAGTTAGAAAGGAAGTGAGAAGGATTCCTCTCAATCAAAGACAGAAAATTTAGAAAACAATCTTCTGGTCGGAGTTCCACTTTAACCACCACTGTGGTGGGTGAATAAGCGGCAGCAATTTTCTGCTCGGCTCTTGCCAGCTGCACTGATTGTCATCGCTTTATTGTCCTCCCGCTGTCCAAAAACATCTGAAAGCTTAAATGGCTTTTATCTAAATTGGCCACATAAGGCTCAGGACTGTCTTCATCCATGTGGGATGTACAGGTGTACCGTGCATGGACCAGCATGGATCCCCAAGTGCATCCCCAATAGTACATCTGCTCGGGACCGATGCACGGATCAGAATGCAGTCTGTCTATGGTGTACTGCTTAAAAAGTAAGTACATCCTTGGGCATAGACACTGCTGTTGCAAAATGACCTCTTGTAGGCATCGACTATCGGTGATTTGTTGACCTTTCCTCTGTGCAACATTTCTTCAGTTTCAACATTTTTGTGGGCTTCTTAGCATGGACTGCCAGTTTTCAATCACCCACAGCATTTCAATAGCATTCAAATCAGGGCTTTGACCAGGATAGGCCATAATCCCTAATTTCTTCTTTTTAAGCCATCATTTCTTGGTGGATATGTTAGTGCGTTTCAAATAATCCCGTCATCCCACAGTTTGTATGAGGATCCTCAAGAAAAATGCTGCCTTCATTTTGGGTCACATCGGTCTACTCTTACTGTGTCCATGCACCTCTATACTTGATTGGTCTTTGACTTCACACTTGGAAGTACTCCCTACCAGCAATTGCATGCAAGAATCCCAATGGGGGGGGAGGGGGGATCCTGCGATTAGCTGTGAGAGGCAGCCCCATTGAATTTCCCCTCTCTGATTCAACAACCTCTGTACAATCTCATGATTTACCATAATTCTGTAATATGAGGACACAAGAACAATCCATTTCATTTGTATCCAATCAGTCAGGCCCTTGCACTGCTTAGTTGATGGTAGATCTAATGGTGGCCATACTAGTTTCAATGAATGATCAATTTATTTTCCAGTTAATCTCTTCCAATAGAATTAATCGATCTATAGTCAACAACCCAGTTGATCAATATGCCAAGCTAAAGTTGATCTTGAATGATAGTTAAGATATGACCTTAACTTACTATCATAATTGTTTGCATCTTTGTTACCACCGTGTAATCTCATAACCTGATCAGATAACATTTGTATTCATCTCAGTTCTGCTTATTGAAGCAAAACTATAATTTTTGGCTTGGTCATCTGACTCAGTTTAATAGAATCTGATCTAAAATGGTAGAAAAGGAAGTTATAGCTATTGTTTGTGGATTTCATATATTTGATATAATGTATATACACTATATTGCCAAAAGTATTAGGATACCCCTCCAAATCATGTGATTCAGGTGTTCCAATCCCCTCCATGGACACAGGTGGATACAATCAAGCCCCTAGGCATGCAGACTGCTTCTACAAACATTGGTGAAAGAATGGGTCGCTCTCAGGAGCTCAGTGACTCCAAGCGTGGTCCCGTGATAGGTGGCCACCTGTGCAATAAGTCCATCCGTGACATTTCCTGGCTACTAAATATTCCACGCTCAACTGTTAGTGGGATTATAACAAAGTGGAAGCAACTGGGAACAACAGCAACTCAGCCACCAAGTGGTAGGCCACGTAAAATGACAGAACGGGGTCAGCGCATGCTGAAGCACACAGTTTGCAGAAGGCACCAACTGTCTGCAGAGTCAATAG